AAGACTGTGAACGTATCAAATATCATCTGGTTTTCTTAGTAATGTTATAATTATGGATCTTTGTACATGATACTTAAATACTAAAAAATCATGTAGTTTTCATTCCTATATGACATGGGAACCTTTTATTGATAAAAAAAAAGGTTGTCCCATATGATCGAAAATAGCATGCATGAGTGGACCAAAATCAATGCTCAAGATTCAAGAATATGAAAAGCCTCATCCTCTAACAATCGTATGATTGTGTTTCTATATTCAATATATATATATATATATATATATATATATATATATAGAGAGAGAGAGAGAGAGAGACTAAATTACACATTGGTACCCTCTACAATACATAAAGTACTAGCTAAATATCCACCCGCAAGCTAAGGTCGGGATGAGACCTGTAGCTTGTTCTGTAAATTTAAAAATCTTTGAGATGATAATGGTTTGTGAAGATGTCTGCAATCTGATCATCTGTGGAAATAAATTTAACAGACAAATTTCCTTGAGCGACTTTTTCCCGGACAAAGTGAAAATCTACTTCAACATGTTTTGTTCTCGCGTGAAACACAGGATTCACTGACAGGTAGGTCGCACCTAGATCATCACACCACAATATTGGGGTTCTTTTCATAGGGACCCGAAGCTCATGTAACAAGCTCTATAACCATGTGAATTCATTTATTATATCAGTTAAGGCTTTGTATTTAGATTCGGTGGATGAACGTGAGATGGTCTTTTGCTTTCTCGTGGACCAGGAGATGAGATTCGATCCAATATATATAGCATATCCCCACGTGGATCGACAGTCACCTGGACAGCCAGCCCAGTCCGCATCAGAAAACGCACTGAGGTTAGTAAAGATAGAATCAGTGTAGGCATAGAGAGAAGTTCCTGAATTTTGGTGGATGTGAAGACCGTAAGTCGAGGTTCCCTTTAAGTACTGAAGGATACGTTTGATGGTAGACCAGTGGTTTTCTGTAGGAGAGTGCATGAATTGAAACACTTTATTGACAGCATATGCGATGTCGGGCCGAGACAAGGTAACATAATGTAGGGCACCCACAATTTGGCGATATTAGACCAGATCAGCAAGCGGAGAGCTATCGCCAAGAGCCAAATTGGCATTTGTGGCAATCGGTGTCGGCATTGGATTTGCATTTGACAATTTCGCACGCTCTAAAAGGTCCAGGATGTATTTTTGTTGCGAGAGAAGAACATCGTTACCTTGTTATAAATATTACAAAAAAAACGGTTTTTTATTTTTATTAATAAAATATTATAAAAGATTTTATTTATCTCTCATCTATACAAACAATCAAATGATTTCAGTCTTTTATGTTCATTAGCAATTTAAACAAAAAAATAATTTTCTATTTATAAATGTTTAATGTACTTATACATGGATACTACTAACTTATAATAGTATTTTTAAATAGCTCAAACCAACTTATATAAGTTTTTTTTTAGTAACTTATATATTGAAAATAGATTTTTAGCGAATAATATAATGCTATTTTGATTTGTTCAGGATCTTATATTAATGCATCTTATATTAATGTATGCAATCAAGTTGGCATTCGAATCTAGAGAGATTTTAGTTAGGGGTGGCAAATCGGGTCATCGTGTCGTGTTTGTTTGACACGGAAAAACACGACACAACAATGTTTTATGTAATAAGAACACGACACGACACGTATCGTGTTTTGTTTTAACCAACACGAAAACGAACCGATTAAAAAACGACAAACAAGACATGACACAACAAAAATAACATAAAGTAACAATTAGTTTATTTAATTAATACTTAATCATATATAACACGGCAACCACGACAGAGAAATGTTAAATCGTGTCAATTTCATGTCAAATTTTGAACACAAACACGAACACGACATGACATCGTATTTTTTACACTTGACACGAACACAAATTCGAATTTTAGTTTCCCTCAAATTTTATTTTGTATTTTGTATTTTTGTCATATCGTATCATCAATTGTCACCCCTAATTTTAGCTCCATAATGTAATGAAAGATATCATCGGATTAGCAACGTGTTAGTGGAGTTGGAGGAAAGAAAGAACGATTCAATTTCATTTATTTATCCATCTTGAATGTTATAAAAAGAACATTTGTTTTTTTAAGTAGATTTCACATTTTGAAAGATATATCAAACTATCCGTTGATGCATCAAATGTTGATTGTACGTGCATGTTCTGCATTGTAAAGATGGAAAAAACATTTTATTCACTAAATATGGTGACGAAAATCTTCACGACCTCGGAGGAGGATGTTTGGACGTGGTTCAACAAGGTTTTTTTGGATATAATTGGCCAAGATGAAATGTTTTAAGCTAGAAATTCAATTGCTAACATGTTATAGGAAATACGTACACATTGTCTTTAGAGAAGTTTGCAATCTTAATACTATTAAAGTAGTAAAAAGTGTCTTATTGAAAATGTTTCTTTTATGTTGATTCACGTTTGAATTTTATGTTGATTTTTATATTAAAAGTTTGTTTCATTTTATGTTAAAATATATCAAATATAATTGTATGCCATAAAAAAATTTAAAATTAAAAAATAAAAAATATTAGAAAAAATAAATCCAAAAACATTTTCAGAATTTTTAAAATAAAATGAAAACTCCTTCCCCCGCTTTCATTTTTTTCACCTCCATGTCCTATATAAGGGGTTGTCAAGAAACGAAAGAAGAGTATATCCTCAAGTTTAACTTATACGTAGGTGTCTTATTTTTTTTGGTGTAAAGCAATGTCCAACCAAAATAACCAACAATAAAGGACTAAAGGTAAATATTTGGACCTCTGGGCCAGATCTAAACTGTTCCCAACAGGTTTGCATCAAATTCCACAAATTTCTACAAAACCGGTTCTGTTTAGAAGTCGGTATGATCCGGTTCAATCTAAATATTCACCCTTACAATTGTAATAGTAAAATAGATAAACTAACTTTCAGTAGACTTCAATGAGTTGTACCATATAAACTTATAATTGTACCGGTCCAACGGATACAAAGAACCAAAAAAACTCGGATCTAGATCAGCTTCAACTGGTCCGATCTAAAGTCCACCAATTTTGTCAAACCAATTCGGTCCAAATACTCATCCCCTAAACAAGCATTAGCTCTTACTAAAAAAATGTGTGATCCAGCTATACCTTCGGCTACGGCTACTATGACTTCAACTTATTTTCTTAATTTTATGTTAGAAATATAAAAATGAAAACCCCAAGCTTTTATAATAAGTAATAACTGAAGACAGATTTTCTCAATCAAACGTTCCTTGACATTTCAGGCCCAACTTAAAAATTGTAATTTTTGTTGTTCTAAATTGAAAAGTTTTTCTTTCTCCCGTTTATTTTAAATGACACTCTAATACTGTCTTTGGAACACGTTTAAAGCCAATCATGAAACTATAGAAATTTTTTGAAATAACCAAAATTGAGAGGGTGTTTTAAGTAGGGATGAGCAGTTTGTCCTAAATCTCGATCCTGTACCAGTACCCTACCGAAACCGGTACCGAATGTAGAAATATGGAATGGTACTTGGTATTCCAAATACATGAATTTCGGGAATCGGTAGTGCCGGCACCGGTACTAGTACCGAAAACCGGTACCATTCCCGGTATTGGCACCGGTGATGTTAATTCAGTTCGATACTCGGGATTGACTTTCGACCAAATTCGATTTTCGGGTAATCGGGAACGGTACGAGTCAGTACCGGTTCCGTCTCATGCTCATCCCTAGTTTTAAGCATTTAACCAATAAAATTTGAGTTTTGAAAAATAACCACGAGATTCATAGAAAAAGCTCTACGAATCGTTTTAAACCTCTGAGGAACGATAAATAGTATCGAGGAATTGATGTGGCATTCTTACAAGACAAAATATGGTAGGATCTACAGAGAAATCAACAATTTTGTAGAGGTGTTGCAGGGATCCGTAGAGACAGCTCTGTGGATTTGTCGGAGAGGAGCAACTACAATTTCTTCAGAAAATTTAAACTTCCGTATAGGGTTAAATGGATCCACAGCGCCACCTCTCCCGAACCATAATACCGACCATATTTTTGTCTTTTAGTGATATCACTTCAATTTCTCGATATTATTCACCGTTTTTCAGATGTTTAAAGCGATCAGCAGAGCCAGACCCCCCTCTACTGATCTCGTGGTCATTTTCCAAAAATTCAAATTTTCTTGGTTAAATGCTTAAAAGAATTTTCTCATGAAACTATTATGATTTGAAATCCAAATTAAAAGTATATAAGATTTTCTTGATATTGTTTTTTTTTTAAGTAAATACTAAAGAATAAGATAAAATTACATACATATCTACAATTAAGTTAATTTAGGAGTTCCTGCTAGTCAAACAAGTGGCAACTGATTATTACAAGTTGAAGTGAAACAACAAGAACACATCCAAACACCAAATAATGGCATGATCGTCTTCAAAACCTAATTAATGCGGGCATTCCGAATTTGGAGAAAATGAAATCTAAAAGTAGTAAAGCAAATAAATGAAATGAAAAGGTAAGATGGTCTAAAGAATTTATAAAGATAAAAAATTTAATTGTATGAAACAGGTAATAATTAATGTAAAAAGTTGATGATGGCAGCGGTCCTTCCAAACTAAAAAAAAAAGGTACTAAACCTAAAATCATCCATCCATCCATCCTTTCTGGAGATCCCAATCAGTTATCCTCGCTTGAACCCAACCCAACCCAACCCAACCCAACAACATCATAAAAACAAGAGAGAACCAAGAGTCCTTCTAATGTAATGTAATGGTCAAAAAGAAAAAAATTAAATAAAAGGAATCAAAGGGCAAAGCGGGAAGTTGAGACCTGAAGAAAAGAGGTTTGGAACCTTGAACCATGTTTTGAGTTAAAGGCTGCTTACTCTCCTCTATGAGAAAGAGAAAGCCATGCATGCATGCAGATCTGAATTTGGCAACCAAAAATTTGTTAAAACGGGAGGGGGCGCATGTTGTTTCATGCGTAATACATGTACAAGCTGTTTGCAGCAGCACAGGCGATTGAGTTTTCAGTTGGATGCCATGCCAGATGGAGCAACTTTGTTGTGAAGTCAAATGAATTTCCGTTTGCATCAACTCCCACTCCCGGGGTGTTGCTCTCTCCTCCTGTTGTAGTAAATTCAAATTTCTTTTTTAGTCAATAAATGCTGACTTAACAAATTCAATCCGATCAAAACCCAACAAAAGACCTAGCAGACCAAAAATGTTTTACAGGCCAGACTTTTTAAACTAAATGATCTAGCCTGTTCCATTTTTAGGTAAAAAAATTTAGTTTAGTTTTATCCAGTTGACTTGTCACTAATAAAATATTGACCAAATTTCACAAAAAAAAAAAAAGGATTGAAATTTGTGGTCGTAGAGAGTGTGAAATGAAAGAAAAAGATTGACCTCGTCTAACTGCCCGGGTTATGCTGCTTAGGGATCTGGAAGGCCTTGAGGGGGTCTGCACTTGTCTCCTACAAGATTTAAATTCTCTTATTAAAAACAAACAAACACACATTTCTTATAGTATTTATTTAAAGAAAAAATATATTAGGCAGCATACCTCATTGGGTTCTTGCTAGCTTCAAGGGTGGTTGCTTCAGTGCTGCCCGGATTGCACCCAAACACACGGAATAAGTTGCTGTGAATAAATTTTTACAAGTGAGTCCATAATGACCTGGCAGGGTGGAGTGTGAATTATATGATATATTTGAATGTTACCTGTAAGAACCAGTTGCTACACGCTTGCTATCACCACTCAGACAGCATTCAAATTTATCGAAAATAGAATCGTTTTCATATAAATCACATAGCTGTAGGCGACATAACATACTACATACATTACTCATCTCAATTCCATGCTAATAAAAAAAAAAATTAACATACGGGAACAGTAAGTATACCTTAGGTCTTAAATGTTCATGGACCTGAAATGTTGAAACTGGACCAGAGTCCATGTTGATGTCCCATAACTGCACAACACAAACCAACACCCATACAACTTGAGTTTATATGTTATAGAAAAAAAAAACGGATGAGTTGGATTTTAAATGGACATGGTAGAAAGTACATATATAATACAACAGAAGAGGAACAAATCAGAAACCTTAAGGGTCATGTAATCACGACTTAGAATATATCTTCCATCTCTTCCAAATTTTATATCTGAAATAGAGGCTATTATCTCAGTGAAGAATGACCTTGAACCAGGTGCTTCATGTTCCTCAAACCTATACAATTATAAGGATAAGGATTCACCCCAAAATTATATTTATTCAAAAAAAATAAAAACAAGAAACTTACAATTTAGAATGTTTATCGCATAGAGCAGACTGACGTAAGTCAATAAGGCGAATAGATCCTTTGGAACTACTATATGCTAGTGTATGACAATGGTTAGGATGAAACTCAGCCGATGTAATCACCTCTGCCAAAAAAAAAAAAACATAAGTTCTAGTCAATCAATGTTTGCTCACAAACAAAAACAAGTACCCCAAAATATTTAAATGAAGGATGCTAAGGAATAGGAAAATATTGTCACACACATACAAATACAAGCACTAATATACTAACTGGTTGTGGAAAACAAAAATAATCTGTTTATATTTAATACAATAAAGTTGGTTGCTACATAAGTATTTTTCTTTTTAGCATGAATTTTGTTTGCTAAAAATAGAGTGTACCGGTGAGGTCTTCCATGTTTGCAGGCTTGACATCCACGATGTTGAAACTCTGATTGCTGACTTCCAAATTCCAAAGGTTTATCCGAAGATCGTCCGCAGAGATAAATGTCTCACCATCACTAATATGCATAAAAGAAAAGGATCATCAACAAACATCACATCCCAATTATTCAAAACTCAAGACTCAACATGTTTGTGCAAGTCAAATTAAGCCCAAATTGCAGGAATCCTGCTTTAATCTCGTTACTAATATATATATATATATATATATATATATATATATATATATATATATATATATATATAAACCGATAATAGCAACGTACTTACAATTTTTTATTGATAATACATAACTTGAAAAGTATACAAACAGTAGATTACTCGCAATAATATTTATTTTTGGGTAAGAAATTGCAAGTATGCTGCTATTATGAGTACAAAATAGGGTTAAATGCAAGAAATATCAACATATTTTCATTAAGTTTTTTATAATAGCATCCTACTTTCATCTTTTCCTATTAGATCAGCATACTTTGAAAAATATACCCAACTCTAGCAATGTCATCCTTATCCAAACAAAAACCAATTTTCCCTGCTGCTATATTATGATATGCCAGTAACTAAATGTTGAAAGTACAATGCTGTAATTTCTGGTGTTTCAAAATAAAGTGTTTTAATAAGGGGAAAAAAATGAAGGTACAATGCTGTTATAAAAAGAATGGAAAGCAGGATGCAATAACAGACAGATAAATGAAAGTACATTGCTATTTCTTGTGTTTAGCCCTAAAATGTAAAAATAAATTTGTTACACACTTAGTAGTACTGATGACCCAAACCTGTTATTTGAGATAGAGTTGATATGATAGTCATGTGCATGGGCATACACTCTTCTACATCTTGCAACAAGGTTGGTCTCATTGCTAGTTACCTGCAATTGTACCTTAGTGTCAAACTACTGAATAACCAACATGAGCAATAAAAAAACAATGTGATGATGACAAAAAGACAGACTAAAAACATGATGACTTCCACAAATACAATTAAAGAGAAGATGGTAGGGCAAGGGTACAACTACCACAGGTAAACGAAGTGATGGAATGCTCCCTGAAGGAAATGATAATGCATTGCTTAAACTAGTGTAAGATTTGTCTTTGTCAGTGCATCCACCATTTGCAAGATGCAGCTTAGGGTTGGAAGTAACAGTTGAACTACCAACATTGCCATTTCCAGTGGCTTTGGAATTGGAAGTATCCATGCTCATCTCAGCAACTTTCTTGATCTTCTTCTCTTGGACCTGTGAAAGTCAAAATAAGTTTTTACAACTTTAACTACAAAGACACATTATTTGTATTATAAGCAAATGGGTCATTTTATTTGAAAAGAGGAACGAAAGAAAGGAGTTACAGTGGTTACCTTCCAGAATTTAATGGTTTTATCATTAGAAGACAGAAGAAAGAGTGCACCATTGGATGTTTGGCACCATCTGATTTTGTTAATTTTCTCTTCAATCTCCAAACTTTTTAAATAATCAAACTGAGAACAAAAGGTTGGAAATCAATAAATAAAACTATAGGAGAGATTACTGGATCACTATAGAAGAATAAACAAAAATGATGAAAGTAACAATTCAAGAAAATGGAATAAAAGAAAACCTCTGGTTCATGGCTCTGGAACTCAGTTTTGTAGCGGAATTCAGGATGCCTGCTGATTGGGTAATCAGTCTTTTCTAAGTCCTTTCTATTTCCACCATGCTACACAATCAAGAATTGAAAAGTTGTGAGTCACAACATAATCTTAAGACAGTAGAAGACAAAATAAAGACATGCAAAACACCAAAAATATCAAATCTTGCATGGCCAACCTCCTTTTTATCAGTTCTCTCAAATAATACTACCCTTCCCCCACGATCACCAGTAGCAAGATGGTCACCACTTTTATCAAACTCAATCGCCGATATGATATCAACTGCAAAAAGCGCAAAATTGTCATCACTGTACTATGAAATAATGTAAAAAAGTGGAAAAATCCAGTACGATTAAACTAGAGGGGTACTTCACTAGAGCTTTATATTTCCAAAAGCACAACAAGTATAGACAAAAGATTGTTAAATAGCATTTATGACACCTTTTTGTATGATGTGATCATATTGATAGGCCTGCAAAATGACAGCAGGACTTGCATCTTTCATTCAAAACCCATAACCAAAATGACAGCAGACTGGTCTTAAAAGAGTTTATGAAAGTACAAATCCAGTACATGTATTATATAAATAAAGAAATGCAATGGTGTTTACATGATTGCAGATCTTAGCATTTATGTCATGTTGTAAATAAACAGCTTGACAAATCACCAATTAGGCACTAGAGTACCATTAATAACATTTCTATAACCATCAAAGGCTCAGGGTAAATCTAAGTAACAAAATAAGATCCATAGTTTGCCTCTTACAAGGACAGCTAAGGGGCTTTCCCTGAAGTAAAACAAAAGTCAAAAAGCAATCAAGGTGGACTTATGTCTGGCACGACAATTTCTTGTTTGGTATGAGTGCCAAAAACGTTTCAATGATGAATAGAATCTAAAAGTTATAGAAAGTTCCAGACAGGTTCATGTGAAGAGTATGATAGAACCTCGATTCAAAGGCAGCATAATGATCACAAAATTATCGGTTTATGCTCTATGAATTGGAAATAAACGTTAAGTAGCAATGAAAAAAGAGCGTGGAACCCCACAAATTCATTGGTGAAGAATCCAGCAAGCATGTAATTGGATAACAAGTTTCCAACTGTTACTAAATTTCCACACGTTAGAAGTACTGACTCATTCAAATCTATCTTCTCTTGCAGATTGTTTCTAATTTTCTAGCCATTATTTTGCTTAGTTTGTTTCCCATTTTCTGCCAAAGGTGCTTTGATCATTGAACCTTAGTAGAGCTCTTGTTTTTTTTGCCTATTTGGTAATCTGAAACTCTTGTTCCATAGTAAGTTGATCACTTCACATTCAAACTTGTGTTATGTTCTTATTTTCTTCAAAAGTACAGTGTGCATTATCAGATATTATAAACTACTGACTCCTATTAGTATATCTACACCTATGAAATCATATGCAAGCAAAAGTTAATATTTGCCAATAATGTGAAACATGAATAATGCCTGAAACGCATGGAATCAATAAGAAATGCTTAAGCCTTCCATATACTTACTCCCCCCAGGACGATTTAATTTAAAGCAATTGAATGGAAATTTTGAATGACAGTACTTGATCAAAGTACGAGTGCAAATTTATTATTTCTAATGCTTTGGTCCAACAACAATATTAAGTACCTACGTCTACAGAAACCTAGTTTAATGGCTTCCAGAATCTCCGACGATTCAATAATATGCCGATCCACGAACAAAATCAAAGACATATTTCATTCAAGCCCTAATCAGATACAAATCTGTGGATCCACATGCGGGAAAAAAAGATAGATAGATAGAAATATAATAAATAGAATTCAAATGAATAATCTCCATTGAAGCTAGTTTACCTTCCTGAACTTCTTCACCGGCGGTGCGTTCACCAAATACCTGAGAGAATTTCCAGTCAAGCGGAGGTGGTGGACCCTCGGGAGCTGCCGCAACATCTCCTCCATCGCCACCGTTCATCTCTTCTTCTTCTCCTCTTCTTTTTCTTTTCAGATTAATTAAACGATAAATCAATCAACTGAATCCAAAGTAAAATCAAATCAACAACAGCATCATCCGATCGTTCGTCCAATTATTATTTCTCCAAGATCGCAACCTCGAAATCCTCAGTTAATTCCATCAACAAACAAAAATGAAAACAAAAACAAAAACAAAGACGGTGCCTGTTTCAGATTCATTCATCCATTAACGAGCATCATCGTTCTCATCATCATGAACAACACCAAATCGCTTCATTCACAGATTGGGATTTTATTTTCTCTCTCTTCTTCTCACACTTTCTCTCTCTAAAATGGGGAAGGAGAATTTCGGAAAACTGAAGTGACCAAACCGTTCCTTTTGCCTCCGAACACACACCCAAGCTCCCTCTCTCTCAATAATACATTTTCCCCTCTTCTAATTTGTGTCGTTGATGATAAAGCAACGGCGGATGGATATGTGTTAAATCACTGATCGACCAGGATCCAACGATAAGTATACGCGGATGTCCAATGATGGTTTGTGACGGAGATAACGTGACAGGCTGTGACTTGAGTTGAGAGTTATTAAACTATAGTTATTGAAGACTGTACACGACCGGGGCTGAGTTAGTGAGGACCCAGGGTAAGGATTCTGAAAAGACATTCTTGCCCTTGCTTTTTTGAGCTTTGGCGTTTTTATAATGTGTTTATTCTAACGAGATAAGGATGCTTATTGGGTTGTGAATTGTGATTAGCTAGGGATATTCCTTATCTATTTAACATTATTATCAAAAGATGATAAAGAGAAAATGGAAGGTTGTATGTAACAAGTGCACTGGACCTATGTTTAGTGGTGTCAACGATAGTTTTCACTCAACAAATAGGTTGAGATTTTATATCACACAAGTTCTTTACATCAATATCATCAAATGAGTCTCATTAGCAGCAAGCAAATTTCTTGGTGATTGAGTCGGGTGAGGAGGGTTATGGGTCAAGATCACAGTGATCTGGAGGTCATTATCCACGAAAGATCCGAGGGAAGAGGGTGAAAACAAGAAGATAAGAACATTGATATTAAGAAAAGAAAACAAACAGTTTTTGTATTAAATTAATCTAGAGATCATTCTTAATGGATTCATGGTCACCATATGTATTTATCGATTTGGGAGATCATATTGAACAATATGAGTATGCAATAGATTAGAAAAAATGAAGAGGGAAATATCAATAGAAGAACAATAAGACATTTCCTCTCATTTGGAAATAGTAATGATCAAGAAATGTGGAGGGTAAGACTAGATACAAAATGACGGTCATTTTACAGGTTGTTTCGTTAAACACACTATATAAACCAGCTTCGTGAAGGAGACCTACTAACGGTAAGACTCATCTTTTACTTATACTTATATAATATATTAGACTTGTAATTTTATATAGTATAATAGTGTATTTTACACTTTTAAAATACTAGATGATTTAATATATTAATAAATTAGACTTTTAATTTGATTGATCTTAAACCATATTATTATGGATTCATTAATTTTTCTCATGTAATTAAACACTTAATTAATATAATAAAACCATAAAAGGGTGATTTGAACTATTTAAAATATGAGAGTTTTAGAATTTAATATTTCAAAATTAAAACTTTTTAATCAAATTTTAAATTCTAAAACTTGAGGGCAAATTTCAAAACTTTTCAAAATATATTTTAGATCAAATTTGAAAAATAATTAAATATCATATAATTAATAGTTATCACATAATTTGACCTAATCTATTTTTCTTACAACATAATTCAAATCAAAATACAAATAATTAATCTTTATCTTATAAAACAATTAATTATCTTAAATTGATAATTATCTATTAATTTGATTAGGATATCAATTACCATAATAGAAAATCTTATTTTTAATTTGAAAAAACAATTTATGGTAATTATTCAAATCAAATTATGGAAAAAAAATATTTGAAATTTTGTTGTCAGACTGTGTTCACGTCGTGAACAGACTGTGTCCACGTCATGAGTCTGGTCCATAAACGAAATTCGAAATTTTCCAGCTTTGAAAACTTAACTTTTGCATCATATAACAGAAAAACTACCCTAGGCTGATACCACTGTTGGGTTTTGAGCATAACATCATTCCTATGGTGTACATGCAACCCTAATTGCTTTGGATCTAGGTTTTTCTCAAGTTATACATGCAAACAATCTTCCAAAGCATAAACCCTAATCTAACATGTCTAAGAACGGAATTCATATGTAAATAAGGGTTTGGAATCTTACTTTACTTGTTATGTAGCAATAACAAGAACAATCCACAAAGTCCTTGACTCTTGAAAGCTTAGTGCCCCAAGTGCTGCACCTCTAATGGAGTCACAAATACCACTAGCAACAAGGAAGAACAAGAGAGAGATGAGGAGGCTTCAAAACGTCTAGGGTTCTCTTAGAACTCTTGGTCACGTTTTTTTGGAGCTTATGGGGTCCTTTTATAGTTGAGACATCTAGGGTTTTGAACATGAAACCCTAATTCCATTTGCTTAAGCCCTAAGTACCATATGGACTCCCATTGAATAAGCCTTGGACGAAATCTTTATTGTAACGCCCGTAGATTAGGGCTAGTCAATTTAGAGACAATAAACATCAAAAATGAATTTTTGATGGAAGATTATTTAGAAAGATTAATCTTAACCAAGTTGTGGTATATGTCACAAGGTTTCCGTGCATATAAAGAACGCCAAAATCCGAGTTATAACGAAGAAGTTATGACCTGTTGAAGTTTCGCGACAGAACCGGCATGACCCAGCGCGACCCAGCGCAACGTAAATAGTGAATTTAAGGTAGATAGATATCTATCCTTAGTGATCTAAATGAGAGTCGAAGATTTCTTCGATAGTATTCCAACGATAAAAAGACAGATGAAAACGGAGTTCAGGTGAAGAAGTTATGAATTTCGAACGGAGTTTTCCTATCCCGGCCTACTAAAGATAATATATAAGTAATATACTTATAATATATTAAAAATAAAGTCAAAATTAGCCAATGGAGTCTAAACGAGATTTGTATAACATAATCTCACCTTCGCGTCGATATAAAGAACGTCGAAAACGGAGTTCGTATGCGAAAGTTATGAATTTCTGAAGTTCGGGGCGCGAAACCCCAAAACTATCAGATACCACGACGTGGCAAGCAGTTCCACGATGTGGCAAGTCTTCTGACACCTCCGAGAGTCCCCCAGACGCAACTTGCGATGACGTATGTAGTGACGACCAAGCCCACGACGTGGAAAGGGCCAGTTTTGCCCTATAAATAGGTTTGAAGGGCCAGTCGAGTTTGGTTGCTCATTCTCTCATCTCTCTCCCATATTACATCGTTTTACGTGCAATTTTAACCTCCCGAAGCCCCGGTATCATCCCGAGACCCGAAGCGAGTCCCGAAGCCCGAAGATCCCGAGAAGAAAAGAGTTTCTGAGCTGAAGCTCTGCCCGCGAGGAGTCCGGTTTTTTGTGAAGATCTTCCAGATCTACCGAAGAATACTACTTCTACAAGCCGTAGTGTTGTCTGATCATCTTCTAATCAAGTGAGTGTATAGTCCCTTTCATAAACACGATTTTAATACAAGTATTGTTTGAATGTACTAAGTATATGTGTTATGTGAGTGTATCGATGTTATCTTCTAATCTTATAGATATGATTGATTCTCTATGAAATATGTGTTATGTTTATGTGCCTCATCTTTTATCTAGAATGTGTTTTGAACGAACGTACTATATAGGTTTTAAACTGTGTCTAAAAATGTATATTTTTATCTAATAAAATGTTGGGTACAACATGGGTAGATAGTTGTCTTGTGATAAAAGGATGAGAGGCCTCGATATCATTGTAATTCAGTCATCTAGCGGAATTTAGATGATGACCACAAACTTTTCTAGACAGTCCAGTGAACGCTAGCAGGCTCATAACCTGTAGGTGTTAATGAACTTGGATGTTCATTCGATGTATTCCATCCCTCATGGATGCCTTATTTGACTTATATTGTTGAGGAACCCCCAAAGCATGTGTTATCGCCCCGATGAAATATTCTTAGACTAGGTCCCTTGTGTTAGTTGTCTTAGGGACGTAAAGTAGGGATAACGGGAATGAGTAATTGGGTTATTATTGGTTGATGAAATTAAATTAATTATTTATTGTGGGTTGAAAACCCTATATGCTCACCAGGCTCCCAAGCCTGACCCACTCAGTTTTCTTTGCGTTATAGGTAATGGCACAAGAGTATAAGTTGGTGGACTTGACAAGAGGTTTTGGATTATAGATCAGTAGTTATAAATAACTGTTGTAAGGTCTATTTTATATTGTTTATGCTTTTGGTCTGTATCGGAACATGACATCCCGAGGTTTTTATTATTTAATGAAAATACATTTTCTTTGAGAAATGTTTTGATAAATTTTATCATATTTTGTTTTTGGGACAATTTCCACAACTGTTTTCCTTAAAAATGATTACTCTGATTTTAATACAAAGCATAAACAAATCGTTTTTTTTTAGCCGTGAAATTGGGGATGTCACATTTATGGACTCTCATAGAGATTTCGTCCACCTTATACCAATAAGGTCCATGAGCGCAAACTATAAATAATACCGATTTACATAATCAATCCCCGTTAATCTAATCAGTCTCTTTTGATCATCAAACTAATTCCAAATTAATTTCTAATAAATACTAATTAAATAATATGATTTCTCAATTAATATATTATTCTTATAATATATTAATAAAACATAATTAATCCTCTTCTCCATAATTCATCCTATCAGTTGCTATGGTGAAGGCAACCCAAAAGGAACATGCTCATAATCAAATCAAGTACATACCAAAAATAGTTATGAGCTTAAACACCTAATCCAATAATTTCTAGGGTTCATTATCAGCCTCCAACACCCTCCTACCTTAGAGAAACCCTATCTCTCATTCCCTTGGTGAATTATAGCCTTTTTGGAGCATTGTTGGCTTGGAGAAAAATAGAAGAATGAGAAGAAGGTGTTTGTAACGACCCAAAATTTAAGACCAAAAATTTCTTTTAATAAATCATTACTTAAAGTAAAGTCATCATTCCAAAACATAATATGAGTATAAATTTTCAAAACACATGTTCATTATCAGAGTAAACATTCCCAGACTGTCTAATCTATGGTGTGTGCCATGCAATCACCCCGAGCTCTTCCCTCCACTACCGGAAGTACCTGAAACCAAAACTGAAAACCGTAAGCACGAAGCTTAGTGAGTTCCCCACCCTAACGCATACCATGCATAACCACATATTGCACATACTGGGCCACGCCCACTATCTTGGGCCTCGCCCCTACCTCGGGCCTCGCCCGCTACAACGGCCCCGCCGCTCCAGGCCCCGCCTGGCTTCGAGCCCCGCTCGGATACAGATCTGTTTTACTTAGGCCTCGCCTGTCACAGGGCCTCGCCCGCCAACAAATAATAACACATAAACATTTCACAACACATAACTAACACATACAACTGGTTTTGTCCTAGGGGCCTCGCCTATCCTGGGCCTCGCCCATGTCCTGCTACTGATGAGTCATGGGACCCCGTCCACGCTCCTAATGGTAGTGAGGTACGTGCCTAGCCCACTCTCACTCCTGTTCTAGTTTGGGCCTCGCCCCTATTCTGCTACTAATGGGATATGGAACCCCATCCATACTCTGCTATTGGTGAGATA